GTTTGGTTCTCACTGTGCAATTACTCAACCATTAAATAGAAGCAGTAACCAGTATGTACCCGATTCTCCATTGCCTTATGTGTGTATGTTTGCATCTCTAACCTGGCTGTAAACACTACCAAAACACAATTTGTAATTAATTTACACTAGTATCTATATATTAACTGTGAGTAGCTGCAAGCTTTTTCTTGTCTGCATGCTAAGCTTTCAGGATATGATCCGAATGCAGAGCTCAACAGTAGCACTTGCTAGCTCAGGATCACCACCACATCAACTTATCCCCATGGCTTTTGATGTTTTCAGAAGGTGGGTAGTGTATGCACCCTGGAATTAACTCACTGAGCACATTTTAAGTTAACAGTGCATTAATTCTCATTTAGGATGAGACTGCCTTGCATCACTCAGGAAAAGTGTGAAGCAGTCTTAATGTAAGTAAATTTGGGACATACTGACATAGATGACAATGCTGAATGTAAGGCTCTAAAGAAGTGAGTGAAATATGTATATTTAGTATATATGTATCTGCAGCTCTCTGGTAAGAGAACAAAACAGATTCTCCACCACTGTTGACAGTTTATAGGAAACACAGTTTGCTCTCCTATTGCTCTGTGTGTGCCTTGTAAATACGAAAAGCAGTGTGTGCATATGGATTTTCTTTTACCCTGGCATTTCCTGCTGTTTTACAATTATTAGCTATTTAGGTGTTACAGCACCTTGTCAGAAAGTTAAGGGACACATCAGAATTACTGCAACAACGACTCAAATGGAGTCTGATGTGTGTTAATGCACACACACACAACATAGGATTTTTTTGTCCTATTCCTATTGAAACAGCAGTGAGGACGGTAACATCTAATCAACTGAAATCTGATGTGAATGCAGGTGTTAATGCTTGTGCTCCTGCAGAGATTACCATAGGCTCCTTAATAAATTCAGGTAGTCAGAGCGTCCATTTTCTTAGATGTTCCAAAACACAGACCCTCCAGTACCACAGTGCCCCCTAAAACTCAGTCAGGGCATAGATTTCAAGTTTAAGCCAAACAAAGAGAGCTTACCCCTCTCAGCACTTCCTTCAGTGGATATCTCTTTGAATTCATCAGGATGCAAATACTCATCAGCCTCATCTGAGATTTACGATGGGATCACAGCTCATGACAGCATAGCTGCAAATAATGCTGAGGGTTTGTTCGGAAGAATTGTGGAAGAATATTGAATTATTTCAATCTGGGTTTAGTCTGTAATGCTCAGAACACAGTTTAGCTGTATTTACTGAAGTTTCAAAGTTATTGTCTCCTGTGCTTTTTGTCTTATACAGAAATGGGTTGTTCAATGTATTACTTTTTCTACTACAGAAAATATTTACTCCGCATGCTTTGAAGTGGCTCTGCATAAATTTGCACTTGCTTTTCACCTAGGAAGCCTTAGCTCATATTCAGTTTGTCACTAGTACAGCAAGTTGGGCAGTAGATTGCCTTGCAACACCCTTAGCAGGATCTGGTCTCATGCCCAAAGAGAAGCTTTTACTGGTCCAGCAGGGAGCTGTTGCAGGTGCGGATTGAAATGCTTTTATGAAAATACAGGAAATGGCATTTAGAAAGCCTGTGCTCTCAGTGGCTTTCAGAGCAATGCCACGTTGGTTTCATTTATATTTGCAATTGGTTATAAGCTTCTGGAAAAGCCTGTGTTCTTTCTGTATAGCATCTGGAGCAGGAGATGTTCTGTCATTAGCTCTATTGATATGAAGGCTGTATCCATTAAGATAAGAAAATTGAATAAGCCATTTTATGAAGCAGTGGCTAACAATTTCCGTGATCAGAGAACTATGTATGTAGTTAAATTGTTTGATAGATACATATTTATTTTACTTACAGCTCACAATTTTTGTTCACCAGGATCACAATAGAATGCTCACCCTTAGAAAGACAAAGAATCAAGCTTGTATAAATAGACTGCAAGGTCTTTGCACCTCAGGGAATGGGTTGGAGGGAGATTAGCAGGAAGAGTTAATGAGACTGAAGCACCCCAGTAACACCACCCACTGCATTGAATGTACTTGCTTAGTAGAGGGACAGCCACATGGGTGTGCAGCCTTCTGCCCATCCTAGCAACTCTGGAAAGGCTGGAGTTACACCAGCTTACCTGAGCAAGGCTTTGGCATCACCTGTTCGGAGACACATGTCATTCCTTTAGTAAACCATCTCCCACTGAACTGGTTTATGTACAAAGCTGAAGTGAGGTTGTTTTCACTCAGTTGTGAAATTTGACCTGGGACAAAGGCATCCCTGGCATTATCCCTTTGAATTTAGTGAAGATGACTCAATGTACTTAAGTATATCTAAACAGAAGGTTAAAAAATGTGGTAAACATCTGTCTTGTCTTTACCCTGTCACAAAGGTTTCTGGCCTTATTATTGTAGGTTCTGAATGTTGCTTTAGCACCTAAATAATAATTAAGACAAATTTATAGCTTCCTTATTTTTTGTGAATCATTTTTTACTCAAAGAAAAGCAACAAGTATCTCAGATCTTAGCAGTAAGAATTCAATTCCTCAATACTTTAAAGGTCTTTTGTTACAATTAACTGATGACTCTAAGTCCCAAAAGGATTTAAAGAGAAATTTAATAAGTACGTAGTTACACCAAGTACTAAAAATAAGCTTGCTTCTGTATGTGTAGTACAATACAGGGTCACTCCTTTGCACATATCATTGACCCTCATCTACAATAATATATTCCTGTAGAAAAAACTTGAAGTATTTCATAGTATGCTATTACTGTTCAGGAAAAATTAAATTTTCTTGCTGTTAAAGATACCAACTTAAGACAAATTCTTTTGTCTGAATGGCAGCTGAAAATCTGTGTCGTGAATACAGTTGACTGAAGCTCAATTACTTTAATAAATGTCTTCCAAATTTCATCAAAATTACATTTTCATTTTAATAAATGATTCTAACCTACTTGCCAAATAGACAGCCCAACTAAATTTATTAAATTATTGTATAAACAGGATATTGCAATGCCAGAGTTTAAATGGAGAAATATTTGATGTCCAATTTCAGCACTATACTGTTAATCTATGGTATAGAAAAGTATGTTGGTCACCTCTGTATTTTTAGCTTGGATTTATTTTACCATTTTTCTGACAGGAGTCCATGAGATTTTAGGGTCATTCATAAATACCCCAGAAATAATTCTATGGAGAGACTTTTTTGTTTAAATCAGGTAGTTATTACAGCTTTTATATATCCTGCATTTCTGTTAATTCTATTTTATTTCTTTTTCCATACTTGGAGACTGTGGAGCTAATTTGTGTAATACCTGGGGCTTCAAGGAAGTCATAGACTCAAAATGTTCATTCACAACTGTGCATGACGTTTCCTGTGCCTATAGGTATGAGAGTGGTCACTGAATTTGATATACACATAAAAAAGCCTTCTACATTAGGTAAACTTAAAAAAGCACTCAATGTACATGCCATTTATGCATCTTTCTCCAATAATACTGATTACAGCCGTTAGTGTAAAGGAACTCCCTAGTTGATCATTATCTTTCTCTACCACTTGCCTTTGATTCAGGTAATAACCACATTGTTCATGATTTGTGGCATTCTAATACAGAGCTACAGCTGTGGGTTTGCTCTTTAAGATGAATACTTACATTAGTGCATACAGAAATGTACAAAAAGCTGTAAAGGGTAAAAAATATTTTCAGAGACAAATATTTTGATAGTTGACAGTGAGGAGAGAAGGAAAACTATTGGAAAAGGACATAAAGCAAGAATTCGAGGCCATTAAACATTTTCTAGTATTCCAAGAGAAGTCAGTTATGCAAAATACCAGGTTCTTATGAAAAACATGAAGCCAGTTTCACATGACTCTGGAATCCCTGTGTTTTTATAAAGCATGCAGCATTTCTTATCAAGGACATCTTATTTTCTTTCTTTTTTTTTTTTCCCCCAAGTTAGTATAGACATATCTAGCAGAGAGGTTATCTATCTGAACTGGAAATTATTTCAGGCTCATATTTGTAGTTGCTTGACTTAAAAAAAAATAATGTCAACAAACCCACAAAGCCAATCCCCAAACCATTAAATTGTGCAAGTGGTTTTTCATCAAGGGGTGGAGTAAACTGCTCCCCTTGAGACTAGAGAATTTGGTGCCTGAGATTTGCACCCTACATAACCTTCAGGTGCTTATAATACACGCCTGGTAAGAAAGGGAATTTATTGCCTGCCAGTAAAACAAACGAGGCCCAGCTTTCCAGCCTGGATTGTGTTTGAAAGAATCAATACCTGACGACATCTGACTCAAAAGTCAGCAACACACAGACTGAAAGGGATGTGTCTCCTGCCTGGGTAGTCTGCTCCTCTGACTTCTTGCTAACATTTTAATCAAAGGTTGTGGAGTAATTGTGTGCCATATCCCTTTCACTGCTCTAGCTCACCTTTTCTTTTTTTTTTTTTTTAACCTTTTCTGTCATCCTTCAAGGAGTGCATTATGGTTTCTTCTTTATTTTCTTCTCTTGCAGTAATACCGTGCCTGTTGTCTTCAGCTCACTCACAGGCTTCACTGGCTCCTTCCCTGTTGCTAACAATGCAGCCTTCCAACAGCAAGTGGAATTTAGCAGCTAGCAGGCAGCTTCAGGGCAGTGCCTGCAGGCTGTGACAACCAAGTTAAGGCAGTGAGGGTCCCAGTGGTCAACTGGCTGTTATAACTTAGAATCAGGTAGGGAGCTTTTAAATCAAGTAGTGGGCAAAATTATGCTGAGTTCAAGACATCCAGTAGTTAACCTGTGTGGTGCTGACAAAGATAAGGGAAAGATCTCCCAGTTCATATCAGGAATTGTTGCCCTTTGTTATAATATTGCATAAGGAAAGACTAAAGTTGAGCTCTTTAAAATAGAACAATGTTAAATCTGTTAAAGATTAAGTTGGTAGGCAACAGAGAATCTGTTTGATAGTATGTCTTTAGCACACTGACTGACTTGTGATGATTTTTGGCAGGCATCATATCAATTCTGTGAAGCAAGGTGGAGACTACTTCCATATACTTCGCCAAGAATCATTGGAGAGGAAGAGCACACTGAAGGCAGCCCAGCAGACTCAGTACCTGAGAAGGGACTGCCAGCCACCCAAATATTCCCATCAGCCTGAGGAGTCAGTGGAAGAAGTAAACATGTAAGTCAGCTCAGAGGGCTTTTTGTGGTCGGAAGGCAGTGGTTTTAAAAAGCAACAATTTCCAGTTCCTGTCATTACTTGGTGCTGAGGCAGAATTACTACTGGTGTGAACTAGATGGAGAAAATGTTTAAAATCTAAGTGAGTAGCTGTAAACTTAGCAAGCTTGGGGAAAGTTCTTGAGGTGCTGTTTAAAAAGGAGAAAGTTTAGAAGGCAGAGGGTTAGTGAACTTGGTTTCATAGCCAACTTAAAACTGATTTTCTGAGGAGAAATGCAGGAGGCCTGGTGAGTTTGTGCCATGGTTTTTATTCCCACAATGAGACCACAGCATTAAGAATAAAAAAGAACTGCTTTCAGCAGAATAAGTGGCTTAGCTTGCAGAGTGGGTTTCTTTGCTAGTTCAGACCTACCTTCTTGGGGTTTTCATCCTATTTGATCATCAGATAGTCTGCAAGCCTTTGGCTCACACTGCTCTTTTCAGTGCACCTTTAATGCCTGTTGTAATGCTGTAGTTGTCTTCCTTTTGTCAACCCTCACTAGGCGATGAGATGATTAAATTCTTGCTCAGCAGGACAGAGCCACTCTTCTAGAGGTCACACATCTTTGGAGCCTTATCGTATCAAAAGCTCATCTATTTCTAACAGTCTTTTCTCATCAGTTTGCTGTGGCTTTTGTCACTCCCAGGTACTAACTTCTTCTCGTTCACCTTTCTTCCATGAACTGACTCTCAGCTTGGAGAACTCAGTCTCCAAAGTCATCTGAAGTGCAGTCATGCCCTAATCATAAAATGGGACAAAAATATATAACCAGTATTATTATTAAAAAAAAAATACAAAACAGAAAACCAAACTAAGAGGAAAGATTTTATTTCTTCTTCTGTGATACCTGGACCAAAAAGCAAACAAGTAGCACAGACAGGCTGAGAATTCTGAACTGAGAAGTATCATCTTTACTAGAGTAACTTTTAATATCTGGCATTCTAAATGGTTACTAACCAAACAGTTAGAAAATGTGGGAAAGAGATGGAGTATTACTGAGAGATAGTGTGATGGAAGGGGAAAAGGTGTAGGGTATTATTCAAAGGATTTTGGAATCTTAGCCCCTAATGTCTGTGTTGTCTAAAACTTTCTCCTGACTTAGGTCACCTACAGCTGTATGATTTAAATGGCACTTTGATCGTAGGTTAATGAAGGCCACAGGAACATTTTAGGTTAGCAACACTATTTAATTTTTTAAAAAATTTGAATACATAAGAATCCCCATGAAAGCTTTTTGTAAACTCTGTGCTTATTATTATTTTGATATTTAACTATTCTATCTACCCATAATTAATCTCATCCACACTTACTGCAGAGAAATAACATGTATGAAAATTACTGTTGCCTTTATTATTGTGACCATTCGGATAATTGAAGCCATTTATCCTCTTCTGGAAGGAAAGATTTCTTTCATCAGCAAGGCTGACCTAGAATGATTTAACATTCCTCCTTCCCTGGTGAAGGTATACCAGCACAGGCAAAGCTATCTTCATTTAGGCACACCATCTCCTAGCAGTAAAAAAGCTTTTACTGGTGCAGAGTATACCAGGCCTGGGGGTGAATGCTGACAGAGCCACTGTAATCCTACATCTGCACCAGGGGTTTTGCCAGTTGTAAAAAAATTTACTTAATAAGACCCTTCCAACTAACTAAAAAAATCTACATAGCATAAACCTCATACACTTTAATATTTTCAATGTGTTGCTTAAAGCTAATATTAATTGAGAGTTTAACATCTGCCAACATTTCTAAGAGGGAAATCACTAGACTTATGAGCAGATGTCAACATCAAGGAGTCTCATGGAGAGTTTTCTCCACTCCAAGATGTCAGTTGGGACAGGAGTTACACAATGAAACAAGGAATGTGTGGTTTTGAGAGGTGTGCCTTTACTCATTCCAACTGCCCCCAGGACTTACACACGTGCAGGAACTCTGCCAGCACGTGTCAGTTCCAGTTGTGTGCTGTCACACATCTGCTTGTCTGCAGTGGTAAACAGTCTAAAAGATATGTGTGGGAAGCCTGGATACCACACACAGATCATTATCTGTGGTGGGGACTTACTTCACTCCTGGCTTTCCCAGTGCTGACTCCAACAGCTGGGAGTTCATGAGTAAGAGGAGCTCTGAGGCAGTGTTAAACTGCTGGGGCACAAAGTGTCCTTTCAACAGGTGAGCCGTGGCTTCAGCCTTCCACAGGGGCTGAACTGCTATGTTGTATGTGCCCAGATTCCAGTGATGGATCTAGAACTTTCCCATCTCCCTCATTTCCTGTAAGACAAGTATTAAGCTCTACTGGTACTTTTTACTGCTGCTACAGAAGTAGCAGCTTTTAATTGTGGTATCAACTATTTTAACTCTATCAATGCTCTAAACTTTGTAACAATCCTTTGTCATAAGAGTAGACAAAGTGGAAGTGTAGTTATCCCTTATCAGTAGGAATATGGACTGAGAAACACTACAAGGGTCCCGCTGCCTACTCTAGCATTCTGTGGTTCGTTAGCACTACAGAGAAGAGAGAATTGGAAGCGTGGCTTGAGGAAGCACAAGGCAGACTTGTTGTTTCTAGCAACAAAGTCTATGGAATTCATGTGCCAAATCATTTCCAATAAGTACAAATTCAGCATTACTATTTCTCTAAGATTATCAGCATGTAGAAGATCACTTGTTGAGGTTTTGTGTAAGAAATTTCTTTTGGGGCAACAGGAACACCTGCCATCTTATGTTTGTTGGGTATCTCCCGTGTTAAACAGAACAATATGTAACTTTATTAATTAACTGAACAAAATGGGCATGTTGGTCTCTATTTAAACCAAGTGCTGAGACACCTATGCCAATGTTGCATGTGCTATTTACCATTGCTGCTTTGCTTCAGATAGTTTCTATCATTGGGGTGCTTGGGGCACACACTCCACAACCCATGGTCCAATATTTGCTAGTTTATAGAAGGCCATAGTAAACTGATATCCCCAAACTGCTTCAGATCTAGAAAGGAAATATTAATCCAGAATCATTCATTCATTCATCTAGGAAGCCTCTGCTAAACCTCTCAGCTATTTTTTTATGGCCAGTGTCATTTCAGTTCTATACTAATTTATGAGCCAGCATACAATTGTTCATGTTACATTTTCTGTGTGGACCTCCTCTCTCTTTTACACTATCAATACATGATGGCTACAATATCCTACTATGCTTACTGACCTTGAATCTCTGTTGTCTAACACCAGGTACAGATAGCTGTTTACATTTCAGAAGATCAGCTGTAAACATTTCCTTTTCATAAAACCCTTTGCACAGGTGTAAAAGGCCAAACAGGCTTGTGGTGGTGGAGAAATGGTGTCCACAGCCTATAAAGACTTAAATTTTCTCCTGTGCTTGTTTGACCAGCAGGTTCATTGGGGTGAACCTTTTCAACTTTTTTGGTTTCCATGCACACAATATGTCAACCCAGAGAAAAAAAAAAAAACTGAACAGAATTTTACAGGCACATCTTGAAATTTTGGCCTTGTGTGTCTCTAATCCCACTGATGCCACTGGCGTGATGCTAAAGGAAAACCAGTGGAATGGAATGTAAGCAGTATCTCAGCATCTTTTCTCAAACAAAACAGTCAGTGTTTTTTCATCTGCCCACAAATCTGATCTCACATAAATGCTTAATTGCTAATAATCGGTAGTAGTACAAATACGTAAATACAAATAATGACATATTTGTAAATTACTGTAAACATATTAGAAATATATAATTATATATCCTGGTAAACATAAATATCAGGTTTCTGATATCGATAAATGATGATAAATGATAATAAATGCAGTAATTATCAATTTAGAAATACACCTAAGTATTTTTTTATGTAAGGAGGAGAAGAGGGAGTGTAGTGATCTGAACATAAAGATTAATTTTATTCTATTCTTCCTTGCATATGTTCCTTTTTTAACTTCAGTCTTTGTCCTTTCCCACAGCAGCTCTCTAGCAGACGACTACCACCTGAGGAAGTCAGAGAAGAAGAAAAACAACATAACCTTACAGTCTTTTGCTCCTGTTTATAGCAGTGTCTTGATTCCAAGCTCCTCTGGAGCAAAGAGGTATATTTGAGGGCAGATTAATGTTCCCTCTTTGGTAACACATAAGCAAAATTCACAGCAGCACAGGTCCATAATACATACACCTAGGGCAGCTGTTCAGCTGGGGAACATGCATCCTGAAAGTTTCAGGAGCTTATGGTGAGATAGTCTGTCTTTATTAATAGCAACTGTTAAATTCTAACTTGAATTCTAACTTGAATCCTCATGAGTTACTGGAAACTGTATGTGCACATGTACACAAATACATCATTTGCTTTGCTGATCTTGACTCAGCAAATTCTGATTAAGTTGCATAAAATGTGTTTATGTGGTACAGACTTCAAGATGAGGCTCATTTTAAGGAAAGGCTATCAAAGCTAAAATTTAACTTGCCTAGTTAAAAAGAAGAGTAGACCTATGAAAGAGAGAAGGAGAAGGCAGTACATGTACCATGTACTCTTCTATAAATTTTGTATTGGTCACTAACACACACTTTCTGTTCTAAGTTCTTTCAACCAATTGCCCACTAAAAGTGTCTTTATATGTAGATGTTTGAGCTAAAATGCCAAAGATGCATCAGACATTTCAAAGTCATACACAGCTTTTACTTCAATGGAAAGCTCAGAAGCTACTGTAGAATTCAAACCCTGTAAGAATCCATACCCTAAAGGGATACACACTGGCATCCTCATAGGTGTGAAGCCCTGAGCACATCACCAAGTCCACTGAAAATTTCACATCCAAAATTACACTTTCAGGATTCGGTTATGTATCAGCATTACAGAAACCTTTGAGAAGGGTCTAGGATTCAAAGGGACAATAGAAAAGGTTGTCTGCTACAGAAATGCTTAGAGGTACCTACTTCAGCCAACGTGATGCCAGTTTGTTTTCCTGACTCTGCACTGTAACACATTTTTTTCTCCTCTTTGCAGTGAACATCTTTTCTGCCAGCTGTGTGCCATACGCTGGCTTCTGGAAGCCTTGACTCTTGAATCCAACAGCTCCATGCATTCCATATTAACCTGCTGGAACCCAACGTGTGTGTGCAATGCAGGATAGCAGATGGAATGAGGAGTTAGGGATCTTTTGTCTTTTATATGTTGTTGTTTCTCTTCCTTCAAGTAATAACTATTGGAGTGAAATGTTATTAATTCTACATAAACAAATTTTCAACACAAATTTTGCATCAGCTTTGCCCCCACTCAGTCAGCAGGGAGTGGTACAGTCAAATCAATAGCACAGCATGGCCCTCCATTATTGTAATAGCAGAACTAGGAGAAAAGATTGAGCTATGCCAGCCAAATTTGGTTGTGTTTTCTTTCCTTTTTCAGTTAATAATTATGCAAATTAAGTACATGTAGTAATAGATGTGTGTATATTCCCATAGCCATCCTTCGGAGGGTTATCCCAGTGAACTCAACAGAAATTCCATATACATTGTAATTACAGAACAAAGCCAGCTGTTAAGTGATATGTGGTAGCTGGTTTTGTTCTATCAATTATGTATGACAGCAATGGGTACTTGTAAAAAAAGCATTGCTTCTAAATTTTTATACTATTAAAAGTAATTACTAATTTAAGTTCCCATCATTTGTAGTCAATATAGTCATGTTGACATAACACCTATTTAAATTTTTCCTGCATGTTTGGTAAAATAGTGCACGTTTTATGCCCTGTTTTGCAGGGCAGAGCTCTTCAAAGCTGTTCTGTTTTCTCTCTGTATTCTCAGCTAAGACAAAATGTGCCTATGTATAACAGAGGTGATGGAGCAGTATTATATAGAATTAGTCTGATAACTTGGAGGAATCAGTCCAGTAGGTATCATACATGGGGCTTTCCCCCCTTTACATATTAGGCCAACCGACAGAGTGAGATAAAAGAAATTGTCAGTAAGTCTCACAGATACAGGCTGACAGCAGGGTATGAATGCCTAAAGCTCCAGATTCGTTTCCAGGTTCTGAAGTAGTGCAGTGCCTTGTTGTATACTTCATTCTGCTCTCTGTTGCTGTCTCTGACCACCTCTCATACAATCATAGAATACCCCCTGTGCTATCACTCTATGCCCTTGTCAGAAGTCCCCCTCCAGCTTTCCTGTAGACCCCCTTTAGGTACTGGAAGGCTGCAGTAAGGTCTCCCTAGACCCTTCTCCAGGCTGAAAAACCCCAGATCTCTCTGTCGTCATAGGGGAGGTGCTTGAGCCCACGACCACCCTTATGGCCATCTCTGGGCTCACTCTGACAGGTCCATATATTTCTTATGCTGGGGGCCTCAGAGCTGGCCCCAGCACTGCAGGTGGGGTCTCACAACAGTGGAGCAGAGGAACAGAATCCCTTCCATCTACCTGCTGGCCACACTGCCTTGGATGCAGCCTAGGATGGCTTCTGGGCTGTGAGTGCATGTTGCTGGGTCATGCTGAGCTTCTTATCAACCAGCACCCCCAGGCCTTTCTCCTTGGGGCTGCTTTCAATCCATTCTCTGCCCAGCTTGTATTTCTGCTTGGGATTGTCCCAACTCATACGCAGGACCTTGCATTTGGCTTTGTTGAACTCCATGAAGTTCACCCAGGCCCACCTCTCAAGTCTGTCAAGGTCTCTCTGGACAGCAGCCCTTTCCTCCAGTGTATTGAGCACACTGTGGATCTTGGTGTGATCAACAAACTTGCTGAGGGTGTGTTCAATCCAGCTGTCTGTGTCACTGACAGATGTTAAACAGCACCAGTCCCAGCAGCAATCCCTGAGGAACACTACTTGTCACTGGTCTCCACTTGGATCTTGAGCTGTTGACCACAACCCTTTGAGCGCAACCATCCTTATCCACCAATAGAATAGAAAAATCAAACGTGTACGAAGCTGCTGTTATTTCTATCCGTAAAATGTTGCTGTACTGGACAACTTGCACAGAGAAAGCTGAGAGCATAGTCTGGCCCAGCACGTGCAGGGTAGTTTGTGGAATGACTGTGCTTTCTTTAGCTGCTCCTGCACTTGTGACTCATGGCTTATGCACCTTGAGCTCTCTTTCCATTTCTTGTAAGCAAAGACACACATCATAGTAGTGGCCAGCTGCCATTCTGTCTCCATTTACTGCACTTCCTAAAAGAACTTATAATAAAAGCAGGGCTCTCAAAACGGAAAACTAATTAAATTGTTTTCACTTAGGGACCCTGATGGTTGTAAAAAAAACCAAAAACATAAAATAAATGGAAGAGGAAAAGTCAGCAACACACATGTGGGAGCTCTTCATTGCAAACACAAAGGTAACTTCATTCTTAATTTCTTCCTTGGGACCTAATCCAACTTTTCATGTGTTTGTTTTATTGCTTAATTGAACTCCATGATATCACATTTTGTGCTCTGGGTCTTGTGACTGCAGAGTACTTGTCTCTCTAGGTTTTGGAGAATAACAACTTGATACTAGGTAATAGGAAGAGCAGTGTGTAGCTGCTTGAAACTGTGGCTTGGTCTTAGTGCTAAGTACTGATGTGGGAAGAATTAAATATTCAGCCCAAACGTAATTAGCCTCTTGTTTGCATCTGGCCCCTTTTTTATGACCCAGAATCACACAGCAATATTTGTTCACACAAATAAGTATTTTTCAGTCAAGTGGGGATTTCAGACTGGTATCCTGGAGGCCTCATTCTAATAAGTTCTAGTCATGATTTGATTTCCATTTTCCATAGAATTTAAAGCTAAGTTGAAAAACAGTTTCTAAATGTTGAGGCCATTAAGGAAAGCAGGGTTCACTTGACACATTCAAAGCAAAGCTAAGGAAAGGAGAAAACAAGCAATTCAGATGAAAGCCTTTTAAAAGAAAAATAAAGGTAATACCTGAGAGGAAATTAAGCACTAGAAAATTATCTCTAACAGTTGGTAACTGTTTTAAAATCATTCTGAAACCATGGAAAGACTTTTCTTTTAGGAACTGCTGAAGTGACTGGAGAAAAATGAAGGGGGAATGAGTGATGCTTAGGAGTATAATTAAGAGAACTCAATAAAGAACCGGTGGGTTTCTCACTCTACAGCACATCTTACATTTTGATCTTCAGCAGTTTGCTGAAGCTTTTAGTTCCTTGCTCTGCCCCCTATAAAGCTAAATTAAACAAGTTTTGTGAAGTGCTTTTAGAACCCCAGGTGAGGCACTCTTAGAAATATGAGCTGTAGCTACAGGTGGCCTGTGTGCTCTTGTTATTTGTCAACACCTGCAGCTCGTACCCTCATGACATAGTGATTAAAATGATTCAATGGAAGACTATTATTTCTGCAGGGGAATAAGCAGCAGAAGTTCTGAAACTTTTAAAAGACAAAGAGTGTGTGTTTATGCAAACATTCTTCGTTTTGTTAGCAAACAGAGAGTCACCAAATCACAGAAGGAACAGAGTTGTCTCTAAATTTGAGGCTTTCTTATTTTTCCATACTAGCTCTCTACGGTCAGGTCCAAGTGAACATGAGCCAAAGAAACCCAAGGGTATGTCAGTCTTGTCACGTCTTTTAGCATTTACATTGCCAAGGCTCTTTTTTTCCCCCCTCTATTAATTAATGACAATTTCCTTTCTGTCATTTATGCTACTATTACTTGAAGAATGCTTTTTGTATTTGATATGAATCTTCTAGTGGAAATATTGGGTTCTTCCAGGTGCATTTGCCTTATGATACATATTCTTCTTATCAAGCCTACAGAATTCAGTCTGCTTTCAGACATCAGTTTTACATTCCTGACACAAGAAAATCATTTCCCAGGTTATTGGGTGTTGGGAGGAGACCTGAGCATTTATCAAAGCACTTTGACCTGTTCTTCCCTGTGCATGAGAAGGTTCCTCTATTACTGGCTTCCTCAGCATCTGCAGTGTTATTAATTTGCAAATTAGCTTAATCTGTTGGCGTTAATACTACAGCAGAGGAGTATTGAAGAAAGATAAAATGCAGGAGGTCCTACCCTGAAATCATTAGCTTCTTTGGTATCACTGGAGAAAAATCTATGAGGTTACAGAGGGACCAGAAGGATCTAAGATTGGAATCAGTTACAGAAATACAATTCTTGTTTTGTCAAATGGCTACAGAAAACCTCTCCTTTCTGATCTTTTTTTCCCTTCTTCTATGTACAGAAATGCACCTGGAAATGATAACAGAGACTACTTAGCAGGAAGATAAACAATTCTCTACACCAGGTGTATCTCAGCTTAGCAGCCAGTTGTCTCTCCGTGGCCAGACCCCTTGTGGCAGTGAAAATTCCACCCCACTTTGCTCTGAAGACAACATCAGGATCAATGTATCTCCATCTGACGTGGGGAGCGAGTCAGCCCAAGCTGAGGAACAACCACCTCCTTCCCTTTGTAGGTGACTTCTCTCATCTGCCAATATCCAATGGATTTGCTTTCAGCTTGCTAGAGAGAACCTACACCAAAGCCCCTGTGAGGTGTACCAGTGTACCTGCCTTCAGTTCTGCATGGAACTTTGCACAAGTTTCTCTGTGCCCTCCACCTTAGCAAATTGGCTTGAAGACAACACAGTCCCATGTGAATATTAAGTAAGAGTTTTAATTAATATTCAGTTACAGCAGTTGTATAATCAGACTGTCATTCAGATCTGTAAGGTCCAACAGGCAGTGAAAACAGTGAAACTGTTCACTGCCATAAGCAGCTGATCCCCTGAATGTGTCTTTGTCCAACTTTGGGAGTTCTGTTTAACTTCTGTTTCCCACTCTCTGTTCCTCCTACTCATCCATCAGCGATTACCTGTGCTTGATAGACCTGACAGAATCATTTATCTGTTAGCTCTGCAACATGTTTCAGCACAAAGTAAGGTAATCTTTAGACTTTTTTCCTTCCTTATGAGAAAAGCTGGACCAGAAAAGCACATTAGTATTTATTACTGCTAATTACCTGTTAATTGATATTTATGTTATCATTATTAGGCTGATATCATGCGCTGCTAGACTCTAAATTAGCACTCAGGAAGCAGCTCTTGGAGTCATTTGGGATCATCCTGTGCATGTTCAGTAGCTATCAAAAAGGCAAGACAAACCTTCAGGATGAAGGGGAAGACGAAGCAGGAAACGTGTTATGCAAAACTACAAATGATTCATTCGTATGTGCTTCTTCAGTTCCAGTCTTCCCAGTTCAGCCAGCCTGGTATCACAAGTAGTAAAGTTTGATGGAAAACAAGTGGTGAGGTGTGTTAGAGATACAGAAGAGCTTCCTGATGAGAATCAGTAAATAGACCCTGTCTCTTCAGTGCAGAAAAGAAATGGCTGAGTACAAGTTTATGCCAGATCTCTGTAACATCATGAAGTTCATGGAAAAAAGTGATCTGAGAGTGGTCGTTCATGAGTTTCCTTGGGACCGGATTTATGGCACACCAAATTAAATTATCTGGCAGAAAATTTAAAGCAATGGGAAGTGTTTTCATGCAATGCATAATTAAACTTAGAATTCATTGCTACAATATATTGCTGGAAGCATATTCAAGCCCAAAAGCAATTTAAATGAATAGAAGCAAACACAATTAATTGTTTTTAACTGTAAAGGAACGGACACACTCTCTGGGTCTGAAAGACCTTTAAGGTTCAGGCTGCCAGAAGCTGGGTGGATATATTGGGAAGCTTGCACTAATATCATACACTGCCTACACAGCTGCTGCTGCTGCTGTCCGTGGCACTGCACACAGATGAACGGCCTTCCTACGACCTGAATGGCAATAGTGGAGAAATCAGAGCTATCAGTTCAAGCACTTTATTTACAGATGTGGATGAACAATTAGGATTTGTGTGAGATAAGATTTGAAAATAATCTTGAGAGCCTCTGTTTGCTGTGTAACTGAAGAAATACCTCATGGTATGTGTGATGTATGGGTAGGATGTTCTGTGTACACTCTGGAACATCTATCACATGGCTGCCTGTGATTTCAGGGGACTGGCCTGAGTTACCAGTCTGGTCCTCTCCAAAGATTATGTTCCTAGCCCATAACAATATGGCAAGTTAGATTCTGCAGGGCTCCTCTGTAGCAAAGGTTGGATTCTGTAAAGAATTCTAAAGCTGCTAGAATCATCTTTAATCCAGGATTCTGATTATAGGATGCTTCATGGACAAATCAGAAATGGGTTACAAGTACAGCTGCTCTGTAGCCTTATACTCAAAATTCACAAAGCTTCATGTAACATATACAAACATAATTTGAGAGCACACATAACCCTAACCCACATGCATGCACATATATATTTCAGAACTGGGAAAGAGATTCTGTAGCAGGCAGCTAACCAGAAGATACAGCTGACCGTGACTCTCACAGAAAGATCTCTTTTAAGTAAAGAATTCACAACTCAATAGAAAATCTTTTGTCCAACTGTAATTTAGATACTGTTGTTTTAGGACTGATGCTGTAGAATGTCTGCTTATAAAAATTTGGCTGAATGAGGACCTGTATTAGTCCAAAAGTGTACCCTTGTCAACAGGATGTAACGTGTGAAGCTGCAGTCCTTGGAGCTGTGGTGTAACAGCAGGTCACTGCTGAGCTGGTCTCATTTATCATTCAGTCCCCACCCAGTCAGTCAAAGGTTTTACAAAGCACATTAGTGTTCTGAGCTTGCCTCCTTCACCACATCTTTAAAAATCTTGTTGTGCAGACAGAGACTGTATGTTCTAAATGTACTAACTGTAAGCCTAATTTTTCATGGTTACTCTGTAATGAAGAATGTTTGTATGCAGATTAGTTCAAATGACGTTTTCTTCACACTGAGAAGTAAAATGAGACCTGCATCTGAGAGTTTAAACACTAAATGAATTTTATCCCCAAAGCTTTCTGGTCAGCAGTTTAGCTTTGAATTCTCAGCCAAAAACATACTTCTAAAACAAGAGGTATAAATATTTGTGCAAAGGATCTTCATTAGAAGAATTATACCTGCATTTGAGGCTTTTCTTTGGGATGGATCAACGTATTTTCTGTTGACTTATCATTGTTAGATCCCTGCAAAACAGGTAAGTATTAAATATAATACAGGTAAATATTATATTTCACAGATTATTAACTAAAGCACAGAAATCAAGGCCATCTGAAATTACTACATTCTTCTTTGCTGTTTTTCTCTTTTTTAATTGTCTGACTAGCTCACAGCTATGGAGGTTAATATTTAAAAAATGCTATGAATGTGGACAAGACTGAGTATTTGTTTTCCTAGTTTCTACAGATGGAGAATTGGAAAATGTTCTAATGCTAAAAAATAAGGACAGGGAGGTGTTGTGCCCTCTGTTTCTGTTGATTAGCCAAAAAGAGGAGCTCTCTCTTTGTGGTATTAGACCTGCTTTGCTTCCTGTCATCTCCTTCCAAAATCTGCCAAAAGGGCTTCTTTTGGGATTGGCTTCAGACAACTCAACTGATCTTGGAGAAGCCATCACATGCAGCCACTGCCTAGTACAGCGCTCTTCCCCAAAAGCCCCATTATCTGCTGAGTAGATGAGTTCAGATATCCAGCTACTCAATCTGCCCAGGTGGGAACCATAAATAGAAAGGACTGGGTTCTTCTGAGAAGGGGTCTGACACTGCCTGCCAAGAACAGATGAGATTTGTACACTGCCTTGGCTCAGTCTGAGCAGAGGCTCCCTGCCTGTATCAATGTCAGGTTCCAGACCCTGGGGGGGTCAGCCTTTAAACTGCTCTCAAAGTGGCACAGCCAGCATCTTACAGGCTGACATTTTGAGACAAGTATGGGTCACAGCTGAGCCATCATTAGAACCAGGAAGTGCTAGAATTTAGGAGTTTTTGACTGGGGCCTTGGCACTCTTGAAAACACACTTGGCCCCAGCTACTAGAGGATCTTCATTATAACTATGGTTCTTAACATTTTGGCCCATCAGCTGGTGCCCAGCAGCTCTACCCACCCATGTCTTACACTTATAAATTCACAGTATAATATTAAAACCTGTACTTTCAACAAGCAGAAGTAGTCTGTGCTGCTTTTCAACACAGCCAGTGTTTAGCAGTTATTTTCTACTATACTGTATGTGGTGCATCACAAAAATGTAAGGAAAGGACCTTTTGAGTTTGGGGATTACAACTTCAACATGTTGAGTGCTCAGTTAAATGTCACTTATTATTGTGTAGAACACACTAAGCACCTCAGAGGATGACTTAGAATTTCACAGCTAACAGTGGGATTTTTAATAACAACAGTTGTTTTACTGCATGAGTGGTTGGAGGGAGTAATGCAGAGAAAATGGCCTATCTCAGTGTCTCTCCAGGGGTTTGGCATCAAGGCAGCAATGAAACAGCAGTGTGAAAGAAAACTAAAATATCAGTTTGAAGGAGGACCATGAGTTCAACTGGCTTTGCAGCTATTCAAGGGAGAGGAGAATATAAGTATTCATATTACAGTGGAAGGCAGAAAGAGAATAAGGAGTGCTATTAGTGAGAGATCTGCTCAAAGGTAGATAATCTGGAAACTATAGCCAATGAAGGGCTAATTGAGATATGTCTTAAGTTTTAGTGGATGCCTATAAGGAGACACAGAGAGGTAATTCTGTTGACGTTAACCGTATTAAATTCCACATGACATTTAAAAGAAGAATGCCAAGGCAATGTGGACTTAGAAA